ATTTTCAACGAATTTAAAGTCCGATGGATTTTTCCGTCGGGATATATTTTAAAAAAAAACATTTTTTTAAACCCTAAAACGCTGCAATTTTCCTTAGTTGCTCACTTGTATTTCCGCCCCCTTTTTCTTCACTCTCCCTTCTCTCTCCTCTTCTCCTTCTCTCAGCTGCTCTTCTCCTTCTCTCTCTTTATTTCTGCTCCTTCTCTTTCTTCATCTATCTCTTTCCTCTTCTTTCCCCCTTTTTGACAATCACCAACAACACCACAATCACCAACAACACCACCGCAATCACCGACATCAATAGCACCAAAATCGATTTAGGGTTTTGCCCTTTCTCTCTCTTCTCATGATGAAAGCAAATTAAAGGTTTTTAGGCCAAATTCATCCATTAAAAGCCTAGATCTATACTTTAAATGGCCGAATTTGGCCTTGTTAAACCGTTTCCATGGTGCAATTCGAAGCATATTTCAATTTAAGGTATATTTTATATTTTAAATTTTCGATTTTGTTTCTGTTTTTTTTTTTTAATTTTTTGGATTTCGATGGTGGTGTTGGGTGTGGCTTATGTGCATGCGTGTGGTGGCTGGCGATGGTTGTGGTGGCTGTGGGTTTGGGGTATGGGTGGGGATAGTTTTTAGATCTGGGCTCAACTTAGTTTGGGGAGAGTGGCGGCCTGAGTGGTGGTGTGGTTCGGGTTACGGTGATTGATGGTGGCTGGGTTTAGGGTTAGGGTGAATTGTGGTGTGGTTTGGGTTGCGGTGATTGGTGGTGTGGTTTGGGTGGGATAGTTTAGATCTTGGCTTAGGGTTCGTTTGGGGGTCAGTGGTGGACCGGTGGTGTTATTGGCGGTGGTGGTGTGGTTAGGGTTAGGGAGCCAGAGCTGGATGTGGCTGATGTGGGGGGTAGTGGCGCCGTGGCGGTGGTGGTCTGCTAGGGCTAGGGTGGTATCACGCTGCGCCAGGGGTGGTGCGTCTTTTTTTATTTTGGCTGGACCATTTTCCGGCGGAATTTGGCTGTTTTCTTGTAGTGTGAGTTAAGATAAAATACATCCCTCAACTATATCAATAGTAGCACATTTGGACCCACATCTTTGAAATGGGACAAAAAGGTCCCTCAACCACCCTTGTCTCATCATTTTCGATGGAGAAACTTCTAAGTTAACAAAGTTTAGGGATCTCAATATCAACTAGGCAAAAGTTAAAGGACTTTTAGCTTTGAGTTAACAAAAGTTTAGGGATTATGACTCATTAATTTTTTTATCAGATTTTTATTTTAAAAGGAATCTTTTCTTTTAATTTGAATTTGTTTTTTTTGTGGACCATGACTCATTATAGTTTGTTTTTTTAAAAAATTAATATCAAATTAAAAAAACAAACACAACTATCTGAATATGAGACCGTTAATTTGAGAGAAAATCCAGAAGAATTCTCAACATCAAATTAATTTAATTTGTGACGTTTTTACTTTGGGATTTACAAATATCATCATTTAATTTGTCCGAATTTTATGTAAATGAGATTTTTGAATAAATCTCCGGCACATCAAATGAGGTTTAGGGTTTAGTTTTATTGTTTGAAGTATCTCTATTTTTTTTTATTATATTCACTTGAATTTTGTGTAGTCTCTGCTAGGGACCAATGATATCATTAATTACAAATAAGTATTATAAGTTATTACAATTTGATATTTGGATATAAGTATATAACATATTTAGAAAAATTGCCGATTGCAACCTTTTAAAGTTTGTATTTTGCAAATTGCAGCCATTTAAAAAAAATTGCAAATTGCAGCCCAAAAGTTCTTATAAACCGTAAATTGCAGCCCGATTTAATTTTTTCATTGGTTTACATGTCGAAAAATATTTGTTAATGTTTTAGGGATCATTTTAGTTCTTAAGGGACCGGATTGAGCTCGGAATTAGCAATAAAATATCATAAGTGCCTCGTTTGGTGAAAAAAAAATATATCAATTTGTGGGTAACTATTTTTTGCTGTAAAAATGGGGCTCTTACGTTATTTTTTTGCTAATTTTGAGCTCTATTCGAAATATTTAGGGGTAAAATGCATGGCCTCTAAAACCTTTACCGAATATTTTTCGACACGTAAATCGATGTAAAAATTGAATTGAGCTACAATTTACAATTTATAAGGACTTTTGGGCTGCTATTTGCAATTTTTTAAATGGCTGTAATTTGCAAAATACTAACTTTAGATGGCTGCAATTTGCAAATTTTCCAACATATTATAATAATTTTAACATTTGTGTAGTAGGTGAGTAGCACTAGATGGACAAAATTTAATAAATTTGACCCATTAATATTAACCGAGTAAAATATGAAGTACATAGTAGAAAATATCGGAAAGTATAAAAAAATAGGTTGAGGTCCAGGAATATGTTTTATACTCTATCATTCCCCCTCACATGAAAGGCCCTTTGGGCTTGAAATGTGGATGCAACACAGGCCCACCCATACCTGTCGCGAATTTATTCCACTTTGAAGGAGGGGTGGATGAGATTTGAACCCGTGACCTCTATGTCACGTTGGTTCTAATACGATATTAAAGGATCATCTCAACCAAAAGTTTAAACTAATGGTTGAGGCCCAGGAATATGTTTTATACTCTATCATGGAACATGGTGACTGAATGAAAGTTGGGATATATGTAAGCAATGTAGCTAGGAATAACTGGATAAGGTGGGAATCATATGGGGTGGTTGGATGTACAAATGGGCTGCAAATAACAGTCAACAATAAATAAAGTAAAAAATTTCATTAGCAAGGTCCCGTTTCCTTCACCTTATTTTGCTGAATTGAAATTATTTTTACTGAAACAAAATTATGTTTGCTGACTTAAATTATTTTTACTGAACTTAAATTAATTTTACTGAACTGAAATTATTTTTGCTGAACTAAAATTATTTTAACTAATTTAATATTATAATTTTTCTTTAAAAAAACTGAATTTTACTAAAATGAAATTATTTTTGCTTAACTGAAATTAGTTTTACTGAATTGAAATTAATTTTACTGAAATGAAATTAATTTTACTGAACTGAACTTACTTTTACTTAATATTACTTTTTAAGGTGAAGTGAACAGGGCCCAAGTTTGTTTTTTTACTCCATTTGATTTCATTTTGGTCGTTTATGTAACGATTGTCGAAAAATTCATTCTTTGTTAAAAATGAAATTTAATTGTATATTTAATAAAGTTATAATTGAATACTAATAATGTACTCACTTTATAAATCAAACAAAATCCTAAAAAAACTTCAGAAAATTCTATCTAATTGTGATTTTTTTTTTTTTGGAAATAAATCTTATTGTGAATTTTGTCAAGACTGCATATAAGAAAAACAAATAGGAAAGAATCTTTTTTGTTAATAAAAATAAGTGAATGGTTTTCTTTACTTTTAAGCATCATGGAATCAGTATAGGACCGTTTAAATGGATGGCATGGACCTATCAAAGGACACCACCAAAAAGGAATCGAACATTTTCAAAACAATATATCAAACCATAATAATAAAATAAAAAATCTAATATATATTTTCTCTCATCTTTAAGAGACTAGAAAATTGGTATGAATCATTATACCTATTGATGAGTACAAAAAAAAAAGTGTATATGTGTATGTTATACCCTAGATTTCAATGATATTATTATGCTTTACTACAATAAATAAACTACTTGTATAATGCTATATAATAATAGTGTATGGGATGTTTTTGACTATCAGTAACTATAGCCCACTATCAGGTATGGGCTCATATATAGTTGTTCATACCACAATATAAAATTATTTTATTTTTTCCCCTTTTTTTCCCTTTCATCTTCATCTTCTTCCTCCCTTAAACCCCTTCCCTATTTCCGGTCAAACCTCCGCCCGTCACACCTCCACCTCCTACAGCAAGGAACCCACCCTACCATCCACCACCTTGGTCGAAACCTAGAAACACGCAACCACCTCCGTTAAAAAACTACTGGAAACCACCCAAAAACATAACCCAAAAATAGAAGAGCAAGCCATGCTATGGAGTGATTTTCATGGTCTTCAAACATAGACAAGTTCCTTGTCGACTTATGGCTCTAGCCATTAAAAAAGGTGAGTTCTATGCTAGACATTGTACGAGTTCGATCGAAATTGACGACATTAAATGTTTGTCGGTGCTCATTTATTATTAATTTGTATACTGTTATTATAGTGTTGAATATTGTTATTAAGAGGAGAGGGACTACTTTTTTACAAAATGATAAGTAATACACGAAATTACATTTTCGCCCCAGTATGGACACAACGAGCCCATACTTGGTAGTGATCTGTCACTACTCATCGATATGGGCCGGATGATTCCATTTGGACTATGTCACTAATTGGTCAAAGACTCAATATAATTCCATATCGACCTATGTCTATCACGTAGAGAGATGCTTGAAACCATTTAGATACCGCAGATTTGACAAGACCTTCACATGGCCCAGTAAATTACAATCAATAAAGCATAAAAATCAGCTAATCAAGTAAGTACTCCATACTTGGTACCATATTGAAATTCATTTATGAATTTAACCATTTTTACACATTTGAATAAGTTTAAATAATTAAAAATACTTAAATACAGTAACAGCAAATTAGACTAGCCTTAATGTTCATTGGACAACCAATAATTGAGGTGTGCCATGTAGAAAATTTAATTTGTTTGACTAAGATAACTTGCATAAATCATATTGAATGTATTTTACTTTTAACAGTTTCAACTATAAAATATTTGAAGAACAAAACGTGTTATGAGACAACTTTAAAATAATTCATTCAAAAGAGCATAGAATAAATTTTTGTTAAAAAACTTATTGATGGAATAATGATGATAAGCTCCAATCTATCAATCGCAAAGAATAGAATTTGTAGTGTCCCACACAACTATATAATTTTTTTTTTTGAAAAAAACGAATACTTCTTGATCTTCTCCTACTATATAATGGTGGGCAGTATGGCATTGTAATTCGCAACTCGCAAGTCACACAGATTAAATATATACAAGACGGTGATACTTCTTCTAAGGTAAGTGCCCGTGCCTATATATAATCTTATTAGTTAGTTAAGCTTTGTTCTTCAATTCATCCATTTGTCACTAACATATATATGTAACTTTAAAATACTTTATCACATCATTTTAATTGATATACTTGGTAAATTAATAAATTGTTATCTTATACCAAAAATGAAGTAATATAATTAATTATTTGGAAATAAAATGTCAATTATATGAACTACATCACCAATAAAACATTATGGTAATCATATTTCAAACGTTTATTGTAAAATTTTCATTTTAAAATACTTTATCATCATTTTGCTTGATATGATTGGTGATTTATTGTGGCTTAATTTGTAGAAGAATATATCTGAAAAGATGGCCAACATTCAAGAATATGCAGCAGTGAAGGTGATGTTTAGTAACAATGTCCAAGCTACGTTGAGTGTTAAGCTGATCAACGGAGATGGAGAAGACCCTGCAGACGTTTACGGAAATTTTCGCTTTTTGCTAAGCAGCAAAGTCAGCGTATTGAAGTAAGGCCCGGTGAATTCATTCCCTTGAGTCGGTCCGATGTCAATGTGCCTGAAGAAGCCAAGGAAATGGAGATTGAAGCTTACTTGATGGACTATGATTCTGTTTCTCCTGACGATGAAATTGCAAACGGCAAAGCCATCTTTCTCGTTAAGGCTTCTGGTGAAAGTGATAAGAAGACCATTACCGGAAAGTATGGCTCCATTGAAGTCAATGTACTTTGGGGTTGATCTCATCTGATTTGAACTTAGGATATAATAAATGCTTTAAGGGATTATTCTTGTGTCGTTCATGCTTTTCATTATTTTTATATGTTTGTTTTTGGTTCTCTTATCCCTAGTTTCTCATGAGCAACTCCACGGATTCGATCTCCATATGGGTTGTTCTTGAGTTTATTGATTTTATTCATTCAGATATTTAATTTCTCTCTTTTAATTATGTTTTCTTTAAATTGAATTATTAGATTTAGTTTCAATTATTTATTTCATGCTTGAGTAGTTTGCTTCTAAGGTTTGGGAACCCATGTATATATGATGCATCTGGATTGATAGTATTAATATTTTTATTATTAATTAATTTCTCTAGTTGATAGTGTTTTGTTGTTAATCTTCCAATATGATCAATTGTTTGATTAATTATTATTAATTAGAGTTTGAATCGAAAGATCATACTTTAAAAGGCTTACCTACAATTAGCAATTCTTATTACGTTAGCTTAGTGACCGTACTGCATATGTTGATCGAATTAAGAGCGTTAAGACACGACCGTATGTAGGCTTAGCAATTGCTCCAGATAATTGATTAATTGAATTGTTGATGGTTTTATGATTGCATCTGAATTAAGCACGTATGGTGAACCATAACCCTAGACCTTTCTATTAATTGCATTCTTATTTTAGTTTAAACTACCTTCCAATCTCAATTTTGTGATATTGCTTAGTTTCTCCAATCTTTAGAAGTTAGATTAAATAATTTTCATCTCTCTATGGATTCGATCCTATTTACCTATTACATTGAATTGCCAGAAGGTTTTGTTAGAAATTAAATTTATCTTTGACAGGTGTGACAACATATCACAATTTGGAGTCATTGCTGGGGAGGCCACTTAATTTTATTACTGTTATTATTGTTTAAAATAGGAAGGAGATTATAATCAATCAACATTTTATTTAAGAAAAACTTAAAATCACATACATAATTATTTCGCTTCATCATAATTCATGCATATAGGAAAGCATTATAAATACATGAGCATGATTAGCCAAATACACACTAGCTATTACACTACATCCTTATAGTGAAAAGGATCGTACGTTACTAGGACACTTTAAGGATTAGAGGCCGGATGGGGATCAAAGTATCTAGCCCTTTAACCTAAGCAGTCGGGTTAAGTTATATATAATATATTTAACCCGACTTTGATACATATATGGTTGTGTTTTATATAATCACACCATTCACATACACACTCCACCAGCAAAAGGTACGGCAAAACAGGCACCATTACAACAATGAGGTCCAAATAAATTGTTACAATACTGATAGTCACCTGCGCACTTCAAAACTTCCCGGCTATCATTTGTTGCGACTTCTTGCTTAATATTTTGGGCGTCCAAACCACGATTATTTTTTTTTGATGCAAAGGAGGGCCAAGCCCTTAGTACAAACTAGAATTAAGCAACAAAACGAGGAGTAGTAACTCCTATAACATCCTCCCTGAGGGTGTCACGTATCTCAATCGGGGGGACATCAAAATACGTTATACCCTCAATTCGGACTATTCCTACATTAGCCAACCTATCCGCTACTTTATTACCTTCTCTATAACAATGAAACATTCTAATATTATTACCAAAGGAGCTGATGATGTTGCGGCAAACACTCAGCAGGTGGACATACTCTCCACCTAGAAGTTGGTCATTTTGAAGAGCCTCGATACACGCCTTGTTGTCCATCTGAATGATTAGCTTGGTGATGCCTTGTTGTTGAGCCATACGAAGTCCCAATTCAAGAGCTAAGACCTCTGCTTTGTAAGCATTGCAGTGCCCGAAATTCGCAGCAAAACCTCTGATAAAGTGACCTCTGCAATCTCGCAAAACCCCTCCACCTCCAGCTGGTCCAGGAGAGCCACGGGCTGCACCATCAGTGTTTAAAGCAGCCCAATCCAATGGAGGGGCAGTCCAGCTTATTAACACTTCTCTTTTTCTTGAGCTTGTCATCTCATTATCACCCATAAAGACCCTCCAAGTTTCATCTATTTTTGGTTTCAGAAAAAGGCCTGTATCAATTAGAATTTCAGCATTTCTTCCAAATAAAGCACAATTACGCCACTTCCACATCCACCAAATAGTCAAGGCAAAACAAATGGGCCACTTTTCAGAAAAAATAAATCCATTTGCTTCAAGGTTGCGTGTTATCCAGCCCTGCAAATCTCCTTGATAGAAGGATGGGTAGCAAGCAGTTCCTCCAACACTCTTCCAAATGTTTCTTGCTATGGGACAGTCAGGAAATAGATGGAGAAGAGTTTCATCAGTATTTTGAGCACATCTTGAGCATCTGGGATCATCAGTGAGGTGTCTTTGAAGTCTGTTAGCATTGCAGAGGATTCTATTATGAAGAATGAGCCAAAGAAAAACTCGGACTCGCTGCTGAACTGGGGAAGTCCAAGCCAATTCCCACTTCGGGTCTGTCATAATATGCTCATCATTTTTTATGATGGATAGAGCATATTTGATTGAAAAACCTCCTGTTTTCGAGCCTTTCCAGTAGCGGAGATCACCCAACTCTGTATTCTCCATCACTTTATGAGAAGCAACAAGTTTCAAAATGTGGGGTGGGAGTAAATGTGCAAATAAATCCCATCTCCACCCAGTTCCTGGTTCCCAAAGTTCTTCAACGATTGCCCCATCCAAAGCTTCAGGAATCGGATCAATGATAAGGTCTCGCAAAGGCACATCTGTCGCCCAGCAATGATCCCAAAAAAGGGTGCTTCTACCATCACCAATAGCCACTGCCGATCCCTTAGAGACCCACTTAGCATTTTCTGTAATTCCTTTCCAAACATTTGACATATTAGTGGAAGGTTCAAACATGTCAATGTCCAAACCACGATTATGCGACCGCATAATCATCATATTTGTTTCATGGTTTCCATTTTCATCATCAATTTTTGGTGGTTGGACTATCACCACTTCTTCTATTACCATCACGGGCCTTTTTGGCTTCGTTTCAATGGCCATAGCTGAAATATAATATGTATCAAGTAGTACATTATTTAGGCGTGGTTTCCAAAACTTCAAATATAATATTTTCAATTATGTACAACAAAAAATTAATTTTTTTTTGATATTTAGAAATAGGCAATAAACAAATCAAACAAGATTCCACCGGACTATTTTTAACTTTAGAATAAATCACTAAATTGAGTCAAAGTAACTTATACGTAAGTAGTAGCAAAAGTTAGAACGTGCCAACTAGGGCCAGTTACTTCAGCTTAATTTTAGTTCAGTTCATTTCGGTTCAGTTCAGCTCCAATCAGTTCAATTCAGTTCAGTTCAGCTTCTATTTTCCTTCTCTCATAAAATATTCATTTCAGCTCTATCCAATTTAGTTAAGTTCAGTTCAGCTCCAATCAGTTCAGTTCAATTCAGCTCCAATCAGTTCAGTTCAATTCGGTTCAATTTAGTTCAATTCAGCTCATTTCAGTTAATATGAACATACCCTAAAATGAAAGAGAGAAAGTACCCTATTACAGGGTCTTCCTCGTGCCTTATATCTTGACAAGTTATAAGTATGAAAAATGTATGTAATACCTTAAAACTTCAACTATAAATTACGGAGTAAAAATTAAAGATTTTTTATTCAAATTTTTGTTTTTATATAAGACATGTCCTTAAAACATTGTACTGTCTTGACACTCATATAAGGAAAAAAACACAAATAAAAGAAACAAAGAAGGTATTATTTTATCTTTCACAAAAAAAAAAAATAAAAAAAAAATAATTAGTAGTATAATTTAGATAAGACTTTCAATTTTTTCAAATGAATGGTTTGAAATACAAACCTGTTGAGGTACTGAGCATGAACAACATTGCTAATAGAACAGGAGCAACCAGAAAGTTAATTGAGACCTTTTCCATTTATTTGTTGCACTTATTACTTAAACTTGAACAAATTAAAATACTTTCTTCTTTGGGTAATTGTGTTTATCTTTTGGGTGAAATAATGCTTCTACTGCTATATATGTTACTTCATATTATTTCCTCACAAATCACAACCCTTTCTATTAATAGTAGATCAGATTAACAAAATAAACAACTAATCTGTGTTCCTCGAGGGATACTATTCATACTAAAAAGTAACAATAATGTTCCCAAGGAAGTTACCAGAAAGTATTCTTTTGGGGATATAATTTTTAGAGCATAAAGCTTCCACTCATACAGCCTATATTATTGATGGGGAATAAACCACATAAGCTTCCAGTCATACAGCCTATTATGTCACTTTATATGACAAAGAGCGCGACCAACCGTATACTACTCAAATCTAGATTTCATTATCTCGTCATGGTAAACTGCTTTAGTCTAAATTATATGAATTCTTCTCTATCATTACGGATCTGCAAAACATTGATGTTGGGATCGATGATGAGGATATCAATATGGATATTAGGTTGTATTCTGCATTGCCTTCGCATAAGCTAAGCACTTTTGAGATACTTTAGAGGATATCTTAAGAAATATTTAATTGGCAATAAGTTGGTTAATAAATATAAAAAACCTTCTCAAGATCGATCATGCTCTTCTTGCTCGTGGTGTAAGAACTTAGTAAAAAGTTTGTAACTATTGTGATGTGATAGGTCATATCAAAGCCGAGTATTGAAAATTAAAGAAGAAGAATGAGGAAAATCCAACGATGAGAACAAGTCTGCAAATGTCGTCGTTAATGTTGGTTTTGATGATTATATTACACTTTAATTAAGGGTTTTGTTACGAGCTTTGGGGTTGCAATTTCTAAGTTCTCTTCATGATAAGTGCCCTTTGAGATTTCTTGAAGCGAGAAAGCCTGTGGATTTTGTTATGGATTATATCATAGATTGTTGATGATTTATTTATGGACATTTTGTGAGAAACTACCTTTTAAAGCATTTTTTTTTTGCGAGAAACTACCTTATAAAAAAATTGTTGTAAAAAACTACCTTATAAAAGCTAAATGTTGTAAGATACTACCCTTGGTCGGAAAGTGAGAGTTGACTTAATTTTAGCTACTCTAAACTTCTCATGTTATACTTATTATACTTAATTGATGGTAAAATCAAGAGAGGTAGAAACGATTACATTCAAGAGAATATGTTTTCATGTGTTTTTTTGTTTAATTTGGATGATTTCTTGTTCCTTTGCTAGAAAAAACTTGAGACAAATGTTTTTTTTTTTATTTTTT